CGTAGTAATAATAGTAATAGTGATGGTAAGTGTCCCAGGTGATTATGCGAAAGGAACCGAATGTGATGATTCCAACAGTTCGGTCCAATGCAACCGAACGGTGCTGTGGGCGACAAGTGTCACAGAAATGTAGGAGAATAGGTGCAGAATTTTCTTTACGTTTGGTTATGTTATCTGTTTTGCTCAGTGACTTCATGAAAATAATGGGAATTCTCTGAAGATTCGACCGTCGTCCGAGGCAAGAATAGTTCAGCTTGGATATTCAGCAACATCGTTAATGATGATATCACTTTTTCTCTGGAAGAATAACATAGCAGAGACGATCCCTTATAAGATGTCATGATGTTCCGTGATATGATGTTGTAAAGGTTCAAATATCTGTCCGATTCCGGAAAAGAAAATTAATGGAAGAGGTAGGAGAGTCAGTAGTGAACAGAAGAAAGACAAAGATTGCAAGAAGAAAATGATTTGAAGAAAGAAGAGTTGGATGACTGCAAGGACGTTCAATAATGCAAAAAGACAAGAAAGAGATCAACAAGCAATTAAAGAGAAAGGGAAATGAATAAAATTGTCACAGAAGAAATTATTATGGATTCAAATTGCTAAGAAACAACCTTATCGGTAACGAAAAAAGTTAGTAGCAAAATTAGACAACCAAAGAGAGGAAAAGAAGAAATTGTGCTGATTTATATGCCAAATTGAAAGGTTTGAAAATTATTGTAATTAGAAATGTTTTGCTAACAAAATATCAGATTGGACAAAATCTCTGTCGAATTTATGATAATCTGAGTGAAAAGATGATGGCAAATGTGAGGGATATATGGGATGAATAGTTAATGGAAAGTATTTCAAATTAAACAACTACAGTTTTAAAAATTTCAAACAGTCAAGATAAAAATGAAAGAAACGATGGAATTGTGACAAGATTTCTGGAACAAATCCAAGCTGCGTAAGGAAAGGTTAATTAAATCAGGACAAGCTCGAAGCGATAAATATACCGAAATCAACTACCACGCCAAATAATGGTAGGATGCAGGATTAAAAAAGTTATGAATGACTCATGATTCAAGGAAATTCGGATTCCAAATCTCTGATCAAAATAGTTTGGTGTTATACTACAGATGACAATCCGGAAGATAACATAGCGAACTAAGTTGGATATCATTTTCAAAGATGAAAAGAATACACGAGCAGTGTCTAACCGCCTAGTGACTCTTACGTTTTGAATATAATGTGTGTTACCTGGGATTTGTTTCCAAAAAAAAACAAGAAAGAAATTGCCGAGGTTCACGAAGAAACAAAAAGTCAACTACTAATCAGCAATGTGATAATAAGAACTCGCAAGAGGGAAAAATCAAATCAACCTTTGGATATGATTAAATCGTGAAATGGCATAATAGTAGATAGTATTGAACTTTCCAAGGTAGAATACTTCATAGAGATTCATTGTTCCTTTTCTTATCTGTGAACTTTTTATTCCATCAAGTAGACATGGCGGAAAGTTGTTAAAGAAAAACAATATATTAATGGAATTTGGAACAGAGAAATATCCAACATTATCAGTGAAATCATTACATATATGGCGGATGATATAAAAGCATTAGATGAGAATGGACTATTTAAATATCTCAGGATGTTTAAGTTATTAAACTAAATAATCCTCCACAAAGCAAATACAAAAGCAATGCGATCTTAGTGATTCGATGTTTTTTGCAGAAATTGTTAATTAATTAAAATTAGACTTATAGGTTATCCATTACTGTTATATTTATTTCAGAATATTTGTAGGGAAGGAATAATCATTGAACATAATATTAGTGTTGGAAAAAATGTTTAACAAATTGACAAAGAAACTGAAATAATTGAAATAAAGTTATCCAAATGACAATTTGAGTAGACGGATGAGGGAAGCTTAGAAATTAAAAACGACGAAGTGAATAATGGAAGTTCTAATTAATTAGGATTAGATACTTCTTTCGCACCAACATACATTATGTCAATTATAGACACAACAATTTTACTGGTCACCAACTGAACTTGGTTTCATGGAAAGTGCATTCTTCTATGGTTATGCTATCACACAAATACCAGGTGGTATGCTTGCTGCCAAATTTGCACCAAATGTGTTAGTTTTTTATGTTGTTACTTATTTGTTTATAGATCTCTCCCTCTCTCTCTCTCTCTCTCTCTCTCTCTCTCTCTCTCT